TTCATTTTCGTATTCATGCTTCATGTTTCAGTTTACAGTAACCAGCGTGTCAGTTGTGTACCTGATATTGGAAGCAAAAGAAAAGGGAGATCAGCAGAAATTCAGTAGCATACAACCACAGCAACACCCAGCAACCAGTAAGAACCAGCAACGAGAAACCAGTGACAGATTTTAAAATCAAGATAAAAATCCAGAAACACTGACAACAATCAACGGACAGAAGCCAAGGGAATCTTTTCAGATTTNATTCCTAATCAAATTTTATGAACAAACTCAAACTAAATGATGAACAACAAAGAAAAAATCGGAATTATTTTGACTGAACAATATTTTTAAACAACAAATCTACTTTCAGATTTCAACAATAATAAAAAACAAGTATATTCAAATCATTGAGCTCAAATTCAAATTAAACTTAAACAGAACAAATAAACGGATTCAAATCACTAAACTCAATAATCAATTGATCTTCAAATTAAATCCAACAACATTACAACAAAGATGCATGATTCAAAAAAAATCAAAAATTAAAAACCAAAACATAAACTCACATTGAATCACTGGATTAAAACGAACTTCAAACAAAAAATGAACACGAATTACATCTATATTAAACAACAAAGATGACTGATTCATCTACCAAATTGAAGAAATAATTAATTGAACTTCAACTTAAATCTACCAACATTATAATTAAACTAACAATTTCTACCTAAAAAAAATAAGAAAAATGAAACAAACTGAAAAAAAAAAAGATAAACACGAATTGGTTAAACCAACTAACCGGATCGGAACGACGATGAACTCGAACCAGGGCTGCCAATGACCTAACGAATCTCGACTTGGAGGGGTATTTTTTTGGAGAAGAAGAAAAAAAAGGGNGGGGCGGGTAGTTTAGGTGTTAGGGTTTTTGGAGTGAAAAATAAAAAATGAGAAGATAGGGGTGGGTCTTTGGGGTTATGGATTGGGTTGACCCGGTTTGAAATGGACCGGGTCGTAGGGGAAGGTTGGGCCTGTGATTTAAAATTGAAGAAAATGCCCAATCCGGTCTTCTTCTATTTTTGTTCTTTTTTCTTTTAATTATTAATAAAACTAAAAATGTTAAAATTAAATTATAAAAACCAAAATTATCTTAAAATACTAATTAACTCCTAATAATAATTATCACCCAAAATTAAACAACAATAAAATAAAATCACACAATTTGGACATTAAACGCTAAAAATGCAAAAGATGTCTATTTTTATGATTTTTTTCAATTTGTAAAACAAACTATATTAAATATCAAATGCAAATGCGACATATTTTTTATTTTTATTTTTTTATTATTAATTTAGCAAATAAACATGCACAGACAAAAAATGAAAACTATACAAATAACACAAAATTCACAACAATTGCACACAAAAAATTGTTTTATTTTTTTTTTGGAATTTTTTTTTGGGAGTAGTTCTCATATAGGGCAAAAATCACATGCTTACAATAATGAGTGGTGAAAGTATTACCAGCAAGTGTGGAAATATAATTAGATAACCATCCTGGAGGCTTCTTTGTTCTAACTGATTGTCTCAAACTCAGGTGCTGCATCTGCAATATCTACAGGGTCTGGATCATGAACTTTAGGTTCGGGAAAAACAGTAGCATCATGGTCTTCATGGATATCAGCAGTAGAATCTGGAGTATCCATAGGAAACTCTTAATTTAGACCAAGATCATCTTGATTAAAGTTCTCTTGTTGAGTTGTATCTGCACTATTATTATGGGATCAATCTCCAAATTGCCTGCACACTAATGTTGGCAATTAATTTATGGTTCAATGTTGGAGATAAAGAGGGTTGTAAATATCCCTTGTGTTTGAAAGAAAATATATTTTGCTTGAAGTTCACATCCCTATTGAGAAAGAAAACTTGGTTAGTGAAATCGTACAGAATGTAACTTTTTCTAACTTTTGAGTATCCCATCATGACTGCTGCAGTTTCCCTAGCAACAAATTTATTATGATCTTGTACCCTTTTTTCAAAATATAGACACCCCATGACTTTCAAATGATCCATGCTTGGGATCCTTTTATGGAAGAACTCATAAGGGGATTTCTCTTGAAGAACTATAGAGGGCATCTTGTTATCAGATAAACTGCAGTTAGAATATAATGGCCTAAAAGTTTAGAGGAAAACCACCTTAACATCTAACAAGTCTTGCAATTTTCAAAATATGTCTGTGCTTTCTCTCAGCAACATCATTTTGCTGAGGTGTATACGCACATGTCCTTTGATGAATCATACCTAAGGACTGAAAAAACTGAGAACAACTTCCATTGATGAATTTTTCGCTATTATCTGAACTTATCATCTTGACTATTTTTCCAAACTGTGTTCGTACTAATGTGAAAAACTTTGTACAACAATTACATCATTTTTAAGACTAAGCAAGTATAACCAAGTAGGTCTTGAATGATCATCCATAGTTGTCAAAAATAATTTATTTCCATGAAATGTTTGTACATTGTAAGGCCCCATATATATTAATATGTAGTAAATGAAAATGTTTAGAAGTTCTACTAGTACTATTAGGAAAAGGCAGTCTTATATGCCTAGCTAGATGACAAATTATATAATTGTTTATTGCCACTTTATATTCTTCTTGACTTAAGCATAGAATTTGTATTATTGCTCCTAATGATGCATGTCCAAGTCGCTTATGCCACAACCAAATGTCCTCTTTTTTCTTTATTCCAACCAGTCCTTTTTCTATAACAATGTTACTTTTTGCAGAATTTTGAAGGAACAGGAAGAGGCCTTCATTTTTTTTACCAATCATCTTCACCACTCCACTGTAGAGGTCTTCGAATGAGCAAAAATATGAAAAACACATACTGAGCAGAGTAATTCTTTTGTGAGCTTTGATAGTGACAACATATTGTATCTAAAGTCTGGTATGTATATGACATTATAGATTTCATCTTTATTAGTCAATTTACATGAATCAATATGTGTCACAGTTGTAGTTTTTCCATTGGCAATTGTACTTTTTTTCTTTCAGTATCACTACTTCTAATTTTAGTTTCTAACATACTTAAATCAGACACCATGTAGTTTGCGGCTCCGGAGTCAACTATCCATTTCCTTGCCTATGAATTTGCTAAAAAGGCATAAATAGTACCTGTCATGTTGGCTATGCCACCTGAGGTTTCAGGTGTGTTGTCCTTACTGAGCATTTTCATAATATGTGTGTATTATTCAAGTATAAAATAAGGCCCTCGAATGTTCTGTTAAGTTGAGCTTACACTTCCACTAGTGTTGTTTCCTGTTGTATATTGTCCTTTGTGTTCCTCCACTATAGCATTATGAGAAATTGTAATTATAGGTTTCCTTTTGTACTTATAATTTGCAGGATACCCTATCAATTTGTAGCATCTTTCACGAGTATTTCCTTTGAGCTTGCAATAGTCACATTGCAGGACGTAGTTCTTCCTTCCACTTTGAATAGGTCCATTTCCTTTTACTGTCATCAGTGTTGTTATGTCTCTAATTATAGTCGATGATAGTGCATTTGTCATGTTCCTTTGACTTTCCATTTCCATCGACAATGAATATGCCTTGTTGACTGAAGGCACTGGCACTATCATCAAAAGCTGGCTCCTTGCTTGTTCATTGGACTTGCAAAAGCTTCAGTCTCTCTCCATGAAGGTCACAAATTCACGAGACTTAACACAATCACAACCAGGAATTGGGGCTAGGCTATCAAATTCAACATAGAGCAAACTTAGTTTAGAGAAGTAACTTGAAATAGAGCTTGTTCCCTGACTAATGGTAGCAATCTCCTATATATTTGAAAGATTCTAGAGCAATCAATTTTATTGAATCACTCCTTCAAATCTCCCCAAACCTAAGATACATTTGTGGAATATACTATCCCACTGTACAATTCATTCGACACACAGTTCATAATCTATGATAAGGCGATTGCATTATATCTTTCCCGTAGATCACCAAATTTGGACAAAAAGTTTCCCTTTTGCAGGTGCCATCTATACACTAGCTTATTCATTCCTAGGATTGTAATTCACATTGCGCAACTCCAATATCGAGTAATTTTTTGGGCCAGTCAGTTGAAGAGAAATTAATATAGTTCCTAAAGTGTCTGTTGAGTACAGAAACAACGGATGATTGTGACTTAGTTTTACTGGCTCCATATTGTCAATCGTCATGATTCAGCTTCCAATAGAAATACAGAGTTGAAGAATGGATCTAAGGATTGAAAGAGACTGCACTAACAGTCAAAATGCTCTGATACCATGTGAATTTCTATGAATCTCTATAGAGCTTGACCTCTGCTTTAATGGAGATTGAGAGTGAGGAAACCAAAGAGAGATTAGCCTGTGAAGCAAGCTGAACTGGATTGGAAAATGGAAGAGTTCATATTTGATTAATCAAGCAATTAGACTTATATACAATAAACACTAACCAATAACTGGCTAGCAGCTAATTGCCAGTTGTTGAACTCTAACTACAACATCATAACTAACCTTCCAATAATTAGTTATTCAACTAACTCTAGTCAACTACTAACTGCCATAACTTGACTCCAGTTATATTAACTCAAGTTACTCTCATTTCAACAGATCCATCATAGCTTTGTTTTTGTACTCCACATCTGACTATAAAGAATTTTCAAGTATCCTGCAAATTGACTTTGGTACCAAAGAGAACAAGAGAAGCCATATCGATGTTAAGACTATTGCATAAGCCCTTCTAAAATAGATGGACGCGAATAAGGCGAAAATAATCAAATAAACACTTGAGCTATATTTCTTGATTTCATCACTTGCTGCTGCTGAAGCACTTATGGTATTTCTGTGGTTGTATGAATATGGCCTTGATGACTGCTTTCCCTTAGATAAAGTGCCAATTGAAGTAATTTCCCTTTGCTTGTTATGATTACCCTTCAAAACTAGTGTTTTTTGATTCCTTGAGCGATCACCATGTAATGCTTTGAAGAACTTGTCCCTTCTATTTCGCCTGTAATTACTTCTTGACTCAAACTGCAAAAATGAAGGTAGCACTAGTCACGATTCTGCTATTACTTGGCGACTGTTGAAGGCATAATTCAGTAAGTAAAAGTGCCTTGTATCTAACAATGTATACTTTCAGATAACATGATCACGCAATTTAACATCGTATCAAAAGCATCATGAGTTTGAGTCTCAATACCACCAATAATCAAAAATATTTTCTTGTGCTTTACCATGAAGAAAATATCGGGTCGACGAGAGACATGTTAAAGACATAATTAAGTAAATAAAAGTGTATTACTGATTGAATGATTACACACTTTGAAAGTAATACTAATAATTACAAGCTTGATCCACTCACATATATATCTTGGATTTTGGATAGTCTAACATCAAAAATGGAAAAAGACAATTGGAAAGACTTTTAGATTCTCAAGAAAGACTACTAACCATTGGATCATTTTTGCCACATCTTTTTCTAATAGTTGGAGAAGACCGATCAATAGCGTGGTTGTGAAGAACAGAGTCCTCAACAATGGGACGGAAACAAAGGAAGAACCTGCTCTTCATTGTCTTCTTTAAGCTAAACACAAAGTATACTATTGGCCACACCAAAATATATTGTGTAATATATATATCGAGAAGAAAAGATGATAAGAGAGTGATGAAAAACAAGAAAATGCTCTGCTTTGTTTGGTGGGGTTTCGACAGTCTTGGCCGGCTGGCCCCTTTCCTCTCTATTTTAGTAAACAAAATATTGGATTCGGAAAGTGCTTTATGAACGAGTTTGGTATTGGTCTAATAGTTGCGATTTTTAAGTACATAGTTCAAATCTCACCAATCACTTTGAGAGGCAAATGTATTCTTTGTTGTCAAATCTCACCAATCACTAAACGACTTCTACACTCTAATTTTTCTTCTTTCTTTGTTACATTTAGATATTATCTTAAATTGTCTTTCTTTTTAATAAGATATGGGTAGTTAAAGTGAAATTTATTAGTTTTTTTTATGTGGAATTCACATAGTACTAAGCGCTGATTAAAAAAATAATAAGTTTATTACATTTATTTACTATTATAGTGAGTAAACTATTTTAATCTGACTAATTTTTTACTATATCTCAACAAAGTTCAGTATCATGCGTGAAATCAACTCTAGTTTCTTAAGTTCCAAACAAAGAATTAAGGTTAAATGTGACTATGGATTGTCAATATTAATTAAGATGTAAAAGCAAATTGAGCATGTGAAAAAGGGACAGAACAATGTCCCAATATTACAGTCTTGAGGCTCTCTGCCTAACAAAATAAAGAGATGAATTGACCTTAATTAAGATGAACTTTAACTCTGTAAACAACACGCTCTACTTGCTCGGGTCTTATTATATTTCTATGCTGTAGTATTTCCTTTGGAAATTGTAGGTGATGAGACTTTTAAAATGTTGGAAAAGATACAAACCTAGTGGCATTATTTGACAACTTGTTCCAACCTCACCAATCATACACGAAAAGATACAAACCTTTTGTCTTAGTCTTTTAATTGATTTTCTTCTAACAAAGTACCACAATGATTTACCAACTTGTTGATAGTGGCTTACGTGACCAAGCAGTATGACTTTACGTGTTCTAGAACAGGATTAAGAGCTAACCGTACTGAGCCGGTTTACATCATATCGCACTGACTTATCATGGGTAAGTGATTTAAGGATATGAAAATATGTATAATTAGACATGATTAAGTAAAAAAATGTATTTGCATACATATAACATGTATTTATTGATTTGATATAAACATTCAATACGGTTAAATTTTTATCTGTTTTATAACTATGGTATACAACGATAAACATTAATCTAGACTTTTAGAATGGGAATTATATTTGTAACTTTAACTATTTTCCTTTATCAGATGTACAACGTGAAGTTAAATAAAGAAGAAGAGGATATTACAATGGAAAGAATAGGTATATGATTCAATCCGACATAGGACTAAGACGGATTATTTATTTTCTTGATCAATTTTTACACGTGACGGAAGAAGATTGAAGTAGAAAGGAAAGGCATATGTATGATTCCATCCAACTATTTTTTTGTTGCACATGTTAAAACTAGTTACCATGGCATGATACGTGTTAATTTTAGAATAGTTTAAGTTATTTACAACAGGGTATAAATTGTTTAAATCTACCATAATAGTTAATAGGTAAAATTTCATAGCAAGTATATGTGGTAAATTGGTATATGTAAGTTAAGTATTTTTATGGAACGAGTTAAACTCACATACACATTCGTGTAAAGAAATTGTTATGTCACCTAAAAGATATTTATAAGTTACCCAACATAAAAGTTGATTTATAATGTTAAAAATAAGACAAGTTACATACTACAATATATAAATATGTTATCCATGCATATAATTGGATGCCAGAGAATTGCAAGCTAGGATCCAAAACTTTGGTAACACTATGAATATTATCATTGATCAACCAAATAATTACACCTAAAGAGCACTTTATATCATAATCAAACTGATTATGAATATTAAGCCTCTAAACAAGAAAACTATACATTACTATCCTGTCCACAAGTTGAAGGCAGTCCAGTTTATTCCACATCTTTGATGAAAGAGGAAGTCCAAGATATCTTATTGGAAAGGTTCCTTCCAAGTTGTAGCTAACAATTGACCCTTTGTAGCATCATCTACTCCAGCTATAAACCTGCTTGACTTATCCAAATTTGCAACTAGCCCTAACACCTCACTGAAGTGATTAAGTGCTTCCACCCCCCTTGTTACTGAAGGTAGATTACCTTTGCAGAATACCATGAGATCATCAACAAAAATATCGAGTGAGTTTCAAAGTTTTACATATGTGTGAAATTGGAAATCTGGAAGATTACTCATAGTCTTCAGGACTCTTGAAAGGTATTCCATCACTAATACAAAGAGCAGGGGAGACATAGGATCCCCCCTGCCTTAGTCCCCTTTTTCTCTCAAAATATCCATGTCCTTCCCCATTCACTTTAATAGAGTATTTGGGAGATGTCACACACACCATTATTAGTTGAGTGAACCTCTCTGGAAACCCAAATCCAGTCAATACCTCCTCTAAGAATCCCCAATCCACCATGTCATAAGCCTTTCTAAGATCAATCTTCATAAGACATCTAGCAGAGGTCTTTCTATTATAATGCCTTAGGAGATCATGACAAATTAGCACATTGTGCATCATGGATCTTTCCTGCACATATGTTGCTTGGTTATCTGCAAGAATATAGTTAATGTAGTGCTTCAACCTCTTGCAAATCATTTTCGAGATGCATTTATATAGAATATTGCAATAGGAGATTGGTCCATATTGGCTAGCATATTCAGGCTTCTCTGCTTTAGGAATCAGTGCTATAATTGTAGTATTAAGTTGTTTTAGTAGTTTGCCATTCTCAAAAAACTCCAGAATAGATGTTGTTATGTTTGCTCCTACAATGTTCCATGCTGTTAAAAAAAATCCACTACTATAGCCATCAGGTCCTGGGCTTTTATTCTTGTCAATTTGGAACATTGCCTCTTTGACTTCCTTTCCCATGTATGGTCTTATTAGGTCCAATTGTTGTTCAATTGACAATACAGGCACTTGTTTCACAAAGCTAGTGAAAGCTTTGACTCTAGAGGAGATACACTTACCCAGAAGGTTTTCATAATAGTCAACAAAGACGAGAGCAATTTGATCAGGATCAGTCTGCCAAGTGCCATGTTCATCTTTATCTGTGTAGTTGCCTGTTTCAGTCTTCTATATTTGATCACTCTATGAAAATATTTTGTATTGTCATCTCCCAGCTTTATCCAAGTTGCTTTGCTCTTCTGTTGTAAATACATCTCCGCTATGTAAGAAGTCCTCCTGAATAGTTGATATGGAGTTACCTTTTTTATGGTGTAACTCCATGTTTTGTGAATCTGTCTGCAGTAGTTCCTGAATTCTCCTTAGCTCTTCCCTGTACATGTCAGCCTCATTTACTACATCCTTGAAGTACTTAGAGTTCAACTGTTTCAGGCTCCTCTTCAGCAACTTCAGTCTTTTTACTAATGTCAGCATTTTGCACCATCTAATTCCACCTCCCAGCCAGCTTTCACCGTATCATCAAAATGAAGATGTTGATCTCATACATTGCAAAAGAGAAAAGACTTCTTCTTTCTTACTCTATCATTTTCTAGTATTAGCTGAATAGGACAATGATCACTTATTCCTTCAGGGAGGAACTTGGGCTGAGAAGCAAGCATTAAGTCTAGCCATTTGTCATTAATTAATGCCCGGTCAATTTTGGAAAACACTCTGAGATCAGAATGCTTATCATTCCATATATATCTGTGACCCTGATTTGGGAGTTCAATTAAGTCACAGGTGTTAACACAGTTCCTAAACTCCACCACTTCTGCCAATGTTATTTGATTGCCTCCTATTCTATCCTCCTCTAATAGAACTGAGTTGAAGTCTCCTAGGACCAACCATGGTATGACACAGACTTCATTCTGTTGCATAATGCATTCTCACATCCCTTTCCTTTCCTCTCTAGTGTTGAAAGCATACACCATAGACACCAAGTATATTAGCTGTAATAAGATATAGGTCACCTCACAAGTTATTACCCGAGCATTGACACAAATAGGTACTACATTATAGTAATCCTGCCTCCATGATAGCCAGATCCAACCATTATAATGTGATTCCAGACTGGTCATATAATTACAACCTCCAAATATACTACCTGCTATTTTATCTATTCTCTCCTTTTTTTATCTTTATTTCTAGCAAGCCTACTAGCCCAGCTTTAACTTCATTGCAGAGGATCTTAAATCAAGCCCCTAACATTCCAACAAAGCAGGTTAACCATCCTCAATATGAGGTATGGTTCCCTCCCCCATTTCCTAGTGTGACCTTGATCATACTGTCATCCCCAGGCTTTCCTAATGCTTGGTAAGTGTTGGATTGAACCAGCTGCTGAGACTGGATTGATGTACTCCTGCCAATTCTCAGAGGAGTAATCCAATTAGAGCTATCTACTGCTTGTTTTTGGACCTCTGTTTTCTGTCCCTTCCCCATGACATGCTTTCCTTGTATTGGAACTTCTTGTTGCTCTTGTTGTTGTTGTATTTTTGTGGCAGTTGTGCCTTGTTGACCAGCTGGTTTTTTTTTTCTTCCTGCACACCACTTCTTCATGCCCATAGGAGAGGCAATAAGTGCAAAAAGTTGGATTCCAGTCGTAGTTTACTTTTTGCTCAATAAGCTGCCCTTTTTCATTCATGAAAAGAACTGTATCGGGCAGTTCTGCATCCAATTATACCTCCACCAATATCTTGGCAAATTGTAGTCACACTTTCTTTCTGTATTTAGATCCACCATAAGAGGTCAACCAACCAAGCTGCCTATCAACTTCACCCAAATTGGCACAGTAAGTAGTTCCTCTCTAGTGAACTCTAAGTCAGGACTTCACGCTTTGACAATAAATAGTTTATTATCAAAATGATAGATCCCAACATTCAACACTTCCTGCTTTGCTGCTTCCGTATCAAATCTGACTAATATCACTCCATTTTTGAGCATTGAGATTTTACTTATGCCATGTTTAGCCCAGTTTTTCTAGACATATCATTGAATTACAACAAATGGTCGATGCGCATCTAGTACATAACATACTATTGCATTCTTCCAGTAATCGATCTCACT